ACTTCTCTGACATAATCATGTGGGACTGGGACAACAAAGGAAACTTCTCTGTGGCATCTACATATAAAATACTCATTGAGACCAAATAGATGAACCTTGATTTAGCAGAGTCAAGCACCAGTGGTAAGGAAATCAGGAAAGCATGGAGAAGAACTTGGAGCATGAAAGTTAAAGGGAAACTAAAGCACTTTGTGTGCAAAGGAATCATTAGCAGAGGAGTGAAAGTGGATCCAAGGTGCAAGATGTGTGGAGAGGATGTAGATACTCAGGAGCATATGCTCTTCCACTGCAAAAGGGCTTAACTCATTTGGAAGCTCTCTCCAATCACTTGGGAATTCAATCATAGCACAGGGATTTGCTTCAGAACCTGGTGGATGAAGATTTGCTCTCTACCCCTCAAGTTCATTAATGATGAAAGAATCCAGCTCACAACATATCTGATGTGGTAGATTTGGAAAATCCACAACCTTTGGGTTTTCCAAAGGCTTAATTGCAAAAAAAATCATGACCTTTTCGTAATTTGCAATTTTATGCACCACCTTTTAAATTGGCAAATTAATACATCACTTTAAAATAATTTGCAATTGTATCCATACGGGCCAAAAATCGGGTAAATTAATACATCACTTCAACAAGGAAAATCCCGATTTTTAGCCCGTATGGATACAATTGCAAAAAATTGTTAAAGTGATGTATTAATTTGCCAATTTAAAAGGTAGTGTATAAAATTGCAAATTACGAAAAGATCGTGATTTTTTTTGCAATTAAGCCTTTTCCAAAACATACTCAGATAAAAAATCGACACTGTTAATTTAGCTGTGAGAGAATGGGAAGAATTCTCTAATTTAGCTAGTTAGGTTGCTGTTTAGTTTTATTTTTTGCTAGTTAGTTTGCTAGTTAGTTTGCTGCTTTAGTAGTCTTTTGATAGCTCACTTTTTTGTTGCCACCCTTCTCCTCTTGCAGTAGGGGATTGGGCTTTGGGAGAATGAGCCTCACCCTAGTTCCTTTGGTTCTCAATGCTCGGGATTGACTCATTCTTCTGTTGCTTGGAAGCTCAGCTCCTCTATTGCTATTTTGCTTTTATGCACATTTGTATAGAACATTGTTCTCTATATTTTTTGGTATAATATCCTGTCATTCCAGAAAAAAATGAAAATAAACAAAATATGCATCATGTATGTATTTAATTTAAATATAAAAAATATGCACTATAATTGAACTAAGTATGCATTTTTCGTATGAACTTGTTGACGATCGGAATCGGTCAAGGGTTAATAAAATATTTATGAGTGGTAAAATAAGTGAAGGAATAGGAATTTATGAAATAAATATCGCTTAATCACGAGGTCGGCCTCTGATCTTGAAGTCGCCACTTTTATTACAGTTGGGATAATCACAAGAATTTATTACAATATTCATGGAGTAAATGTAGACAGAGAAATAGTTGGTGGAGGAATCAACAACCCCTAATAAATATAGGCAGGGTTCATTTATAGCAGTCACAGTTTGGTACTGTTCCGGTACTGTTCACCCTGTCTAGTCGCACAGTAACTCGGAATGACAGGTCGGCACCGTCCTGACAAGCATTAAATGAGGTCTGAGGTTTTTTTCAATGATTTTCTGTCAGACATTAAATGCACATGTGGAGCATTTAATGTTGTTAGGCCTTCCTGCCGAGATATATGCCCTATGGTGACAGAGTAGGATATTATATCCCGTCAGCAATCTCACTTGACAAGTGATAATAATTTATCATTTCCACATTCCGTACTCACGTAGGAGCCGACCTTGTCCAAACTTTCAGGTCGGACTTCTGTCATCACTTCATCTTCTGGTATTCGGGGTTCTACTTTCATACCGGGCGCTCGTGGAGATCGACAAGTATCAAGGAACACTCTACACACCCTTCTTATCGACTTTGTTCCTTTTTGAGCTCGGCGTCTATACATCTCAAATGCCGAACAGGCCTCGGGTGTCACCGACGTTTTGATCATCGTTCTTAGACCATGGTCCCACAGGTTTCAACTCGGATATCAGCGGAACTAAATTTGCATGAATGAAACTAAATATGGATCATGTATATATTTAATTTAAATATAAATATATGAATGAACTAAATATAAATTTTCTTATAACCTAAATATGCACAATCAATACGCTAAATATTTATAGTATATTACATTAATTTTGAAAAAAAAAATATGCACTAGGAATGTTGGGCACACTATGAATGTTGGGCCACCCTATCAAAGCCCATACAAATAGCCCAAAGTATTAATTAGGCGAAATTTCATGTATGCTTAACGAAATAAAAATATTTGTAAAAATACCATGGTGTGATGTTGTATTGCATCCCTACAAAATAGTGTGGAAATAATTGCCAATATGCTAAGATAAAGTTACCAAATCTGAAAAGCTATATCATGGGACCATTTTTCATTACAAAATAAAAGAATTAAAAACACACATGGAAAGTAAATCAATCCTAATATTAAGGAGGTTGTTCAGTAGAAACAGGAAAGCTAAGGATTTTGAATTTCAAGCGACATTAAGGTAAATCTCTATAAAATCTCATAATCTTGAAAAATATTTTTAACGAATTAGGTAATTTTTTTGTTCTTGTCGATCTATTTTTTGATAATGTCGATATATTTTTTGTTTATTTTTGTAATTTGTCTTGATTTATTATGTATATTGTTTGTATATATACAATATATAAAACAAGTTGAAAACCGTACTCATGTACATATACTTAAAATATATGGTCGACCTGAACATATACTAAAAAACAATATATTTGTCGGGAACATATACGTAAGATATACTCATTGTATACCGTTGACATAAAAGAAAATACACAACAAAGTATGTTGATTGTGATGGTTTTTTAAAACTTTATATAGTATATTTGTGGTACATATGTTGTATATTTGTAGTTCTTCCATGACCAATGACCTAATCAATCTCATCATGTGCTTTCTTCGTCTTGGAATGATACTACATTAGTCGGACAAAAAAAAAATACTAAAAATATACTATATATACCAACAACATATACCCGCAACATATACAGAATAGCTGGAAGGATGCTACATTGTTCAGACGAAAACATATACTGAAAATATACAGTATATACCCGTAAAATATACAGAATAGAACTATCTATCAATGAATCAAGCACACTAAATTCCTGAGAATCCAAATCACAGTCAGATTACAAAAGAAAAATAAACATCCCACGTAATAAGTTGTTTTCATCACTAGAATTTTTTTCAGGTCTACTTCAGTTTGGTGTCGTCTTCCCCAAGCTTAATTGGAGGGCAAACGCCGACAAACCACTATCTCCAGCCGTTGGAGGGCAAGTGCGCCTCCTTGGTTAGGTGGTTGTCAATCGGGGTTTAGGGTCGCCTTACTATCGACGGGTAT